ATAAAACAATATAACCGATGAAATAAGATATTAAATAATATTTTAAAATTTAATTTAGCCTATTACTATATTTAGTTTGCATCATTTTAAAATAATTTTATACATCAAAAAAGTAAAAAAGAGAACGAGCAATTATTTATTGTGACATCGTTACAATGCCGGGCTGCAATTTTTAATTACATTTTTAATTAATTTCATTTAAAATATATGCTCTCTACCTCAAATTAGCCCTTGTACATCATACTTTTCCTTTAACAATATAGTCATGCCGGTCATTTATCTAACACCTTTCAAGGGAAAATGTTTGAATTGAACTAACGTAAGTTCCTGTTGGCATCGGAAGTGCATGTATTATTAATCGGGGTATACTACCGCTACGGTTTCCATTTCTGGTCTCATCTTTTATCTATCTGAGTCTGTTCTGAAGATTATGAAAAGAGAAACAGTGAGAATTTATAAATCTACAATTTTTTTCAAATTGCAGCCCAATAACGTGGATAAACCAAGATTTGTTGTTTAAAAATTGCTGAAACAATGTATAATTATAAGAAAGTTTTACAAGATATGTTATTATAAAATACAAGATTTTATCCGGAGTGTATCAGACTTCAATTATATGAACTTTTCCATCGTAAATTTTCTTGTTTTCAACTGAGTGTAGATCGATATCAATCTTTTTATTGACCACTTTAAATTTATTTTCAGTTTAAGAAGCTCAAATTTACTTGAAATTTTAGAAATTTAATAATCTTTATATTTTATACATTTTAAAAGATCTTTGTAAAAATAATATTCAATTTTCAATCTTTAATTTCAGAATTAAAAAATCTCTTTTATTCTCTTTTCTATTTTAAAAATATTTATTAAATAGTTTTATTCTTAATGCAGAATGGTCATAATTAAAGTTTTCCCATTTAGACTCCGTAGTTATAAATAATAAGCGAATTGTCACCAAAGTTTATATACAGACTGTACAAAGGATGCGGAAAAATATCAAGTATTGCAAGAATTTTAAGTGTTTTATTATATTTAAGGAGTAAAATGATTAAATTACATTTTATGCAGTTATTAAAAAACATTGATCCTATAAGTCAGAAATATTAGATATAAGTTTATTACAAGATAAGATTGACCGTTAGAAGCACAAATACTTTTTTTACATCCAGCATCTTCAGTTTAATCTAATTGGATTGAACTTAGATCTAATCTAAAATTATAATTTTACTTTAAATATAGGTTAAATAGGATAAAGTTATGGATCTTTATCATATTTCATAGTTTAATATAAACATTGTAGTAAATTTAATAGTATATCATAAATTTCGTGTATTAGGAGCAAGAAATTTACTATAGTATATTATTATATTATATTGTTTTGAATAGAAGTCTCATATTAATAAATAATATCTAGAATTTCTCATTCAGAAATAGCATCAGATCCATTCTAATTTCTTTATAATATAGTTTATTAAATTAAATTATAATTTTATTTCTTAATTTTCGTCTGCTAATCACTTATAATCTGTCTTCTCAAGTATAAATTGTATTTGTTTATAATAGTGATTAAATCTTTGATTAACTTTAAAAATAAATTCTAGAAACATAATTAAATTCTTTTATTAAGTTGAAAAATTGTTCTTTTAGGCATAAAAGAAATTATTTTATAAACAATAACGTCAGTTACTCAGCTTAAATCTATAGTAAATAATTACTTAAAATTAAATTTTATAAAATAGATTTAAAAATATCTCGATTAATTCAAGAGAGAAATAGAAGTGGATTAAGAAAATTTCTCTAAAATTAGATTACTTTCAAATGAGGTCACAACATAAATCAATTTAAAGAAAATGGAGACTGTCAAATTATATAAATAACAGAGAAAATCCTTCCAATTTAATTAATATTAGTGTAGATGTAATATAAGATGAGCTCCTTAGAAATGTTTGTATCTGTACAATCAGACTATTTTCATTCATTATTATTTGAGAAATATTTAATGAAAGACAGTTGTTTGCGTTATTAAATATGTTCTTTTTATATCAAAATATGTAGCAATATTAATTTTCTTGATTATTCAACTTTATTTAAAAATCTCAATGTATAGATGTGAATGCAGAGATGTATCTTGTATAAGTTATTTTAAGAGGTGCATACAGTCTGATCTACGCATAAAAATTATTTTTTTGTAGATAATCTGGAGACAAATATATTTATATTATTTTTGTTATGATTTATTTATTTATTTTTAATATTTAGAAAAGAAAAGGAAAACGATTCTCTGCTCTTCCCTATGTACACCCCTGTATGAATAAATGTATAATAATTACTGTATAAAATTATAAAACCATATAACTTAAATTATAATTATATAAATCATGTACACAATTAATTATTTTAAAATTTGAAAGTAGAAATAATTAAATTTTAAAGTCAAATTAAATAAATTTTTCTTTTATGTATGCAATTTTTGTTTTTGTTTTTTTTTTTTTACGAACTGATCAAATCATAACTCCATATTTTTCTATGTTTACTGCAATTTTCGGATATTTTATAAAATGTATCTACTTTACACATATTTCTTTATAAACAGGGTTTACAGTTACTGCTATTGAAAAGTCTCATATTTCCTTTTGTTTCAGAAGATACTTTTCTCTATTTTTATCTTTTAGTTTGAAACAATAACCCAAGCCAAAATCAATTTTAAAGATTTTTCTAAAATATCTATCTTAACTTTAATATATATATATATATTAAAGTTTTATCAAATATATTTTTCTATTTACAATAAGTATTTTTTTTGTAAAAGTATATTTGCTATTAGTTAAGATAGTTGGTGAAATGTGTAAAATCCTGTTAAAATTAATTTATATAGAATTAAATTCCTGTAAGTTACTTATGGTAAGTGAATAATAAATCTAACTAGTACCATAATACAAATTAAGTGATTAAATTATTCGTATTATGTTTATACGATTTAATGAAATGGATTGGTAAATTTCAATGTTAGTAATAATTGCCATTAATGTTTAGTTAATTATATAGGAAATTTATGATTTATTTTATATAATTTATGATTTACATAATGTTTAATATAAGTAGTAAATGTTAAACTTTTTAAAATATTTGTAAATGTTTAGTTTTAATGAAAACTGACAGATGGCAGCACCAGTGAATTCAAGAGAATGGAGAGCTGTCGGAACGAAGAGCATTTTCGGGAGATCCTATTTATACAAATAAAAAATAACATAATGATTTTAAAGTGAAAAAAAATATATAGTTTAAAAATTAGCCAACAACCAAAGTTATTTCATTATTTGGAAAAGAAAAAAACACAAAACTGACAAATATTTTTCATTCTTTCCCTCTGATGGGCCCTCTAAACCTCGTAGGCGCCAGGACAGCACATACGAGGCCCTCTGAAAGGGGGCGAAGTATCTCGGCTGTGTCCCCATTTTATAGTGTCTGGACAACACAGTTACTATCAAAATAATTATTATAAATCGTGTAATAAATAATTTAATTTATTTGATAAATTTTTATATATATAAGCAATCGATAAACATAATTTTCTATAAAATCTACGCATTTATTCACAGTTTTTTTTTTGAATTTGAAACACAATTTACATCTGTACATATTGGGGTATGCGATTAAAATTTGACAGATGTTACAGATGAAGAGTAAAGATACTAATTTATTTTCACATTAATCCAATTACATTCATAATTAAATGATCCTTCTGGAAAAAAAGAAATGAACTTTCTTCTTCTGGACGTCTTGATAAGATCTCTTGGACTTCAAAATTACCAATTGGACTGTAGCAATACTGTTGTTTTTATACCTAGTTTAATAATTAAATAATTGTATTTTATTCGTAAATTTCTTAAATAGAGAATCAGTAATCAATGAGAAGCAAATATAAATTTAATAATTTAATTTATACAAAAAAAGTTTCATTTCGTATCACGTCGATTTTAATTAATAATTTATAAAAATATTATAAAATTTTCATTTAAAAATCCAATAATTTGCTTAAAACAATTGTTATTGTGAAAGATATTGGCACAAAAATATCGAATAAAAGTATTATTTCCTCGAATGTCCTCCAGATGGATGCAGTTTCTTATTAGAAATTCTTCTTGAAGTTAATAAATCGATCGCTCTTCGTAAATTATATAGCTCTTATTATTGGCTTAGCCTTTAATAATTATGCAGGACAAATTAACTCTTGGACAAAAAATAAATAAAATCAACTTTTGTATACTTTAAAGAAAAATTCTAATTAGTCTTTTAGTAATATTAGTAAACACTATAATTAATTTTTAAAGAAACTATAGAAAATCGAACATGATAATTACGCACAATTTAGCTTTAAATAAACGAAAATTATTATAAGTTCGATCACTGGAATTTTATTTTGGAAATGCATTAATTTTTATGCCAATTTCCTTATTTTATTCCCAGAAATAAGTAAATTTTTGGAATTCTACGATAGTTTTTCTTATGGGAAGAACTTCTTATTCTAGTTCTAGAGTAGTTTATAAATTTGTATATATTTATCTACAGACTTATAATTTTTTTGTTATATTTGATAATAAGATCGTGACTACTGAATGAGATACAACCGAATAGATTATTTTTTGCATATTTGCAACGTTGAGGATGTATTCAAAATAACCAAAATAAAATCAATCATTGAGTAAAAATATATTAAAAAAGTTGCAAATAAAGAAAATTATAAAAGATTGATAGAAATACAACTAAATTGAGCTATGTTATAAAATTTTAAATGATAATTTAATAGAAATTCATAAAGAATAAGATGATAATTTAATAGAAATTCATAAAGAATAAGATAAAAATTTAGAAACAATTGAAAATCTCTTCAAGAGCTGATTATTTATTTATTTATTTAGTTTTATATGCCTTTAAAACATTTACGTGCCCTATATATTGTGACACTAACTGAATTAACTTTAGTTAAAGATTAACATCAGTGAGTACAAATTTTTCAAATTGGTCGACAGTCAGCTAATCAAGGGATACGATCGGAATTCCCCTAAAAATTCGAAGAATAGGAGTTCAGAAATTGGATTCTGGAAGTAACTCGTACTGAAATGGAAAGTGACACCAGATAAAAGTATAAAATTTGGCAATAAATGTTATTATCCAAACAAAACTCATATTAAAAAAAGAACAGAGTGGAGGAGAGAAATGGAAGATGAAAAAAATGTTTTCATAATACACAAAGTCGTTAAAAAAGAATTAATTTTATAATTGGATAAGTTTTAACAATTATTTAATTTTTTCATGTTTAAAGATATTTATTTTTAATCTCCTGTTTGCAGAAAAAGCTATAAAAACAGAGGAGAAAGCATAATGTAATGGGTACATCGTCGCTTTTGCAATTGAATTACGTCAGCAAATTCACCTAGAATAACAGTAAACATCACAGTTAATGGATTTTTTTTTAACTTTCTGTCTCAAGTGCTAAAAGTTATTTGTCTTTCTTACATCTTTTCTGTTTTAAAATAATAATTTTCTTGATTTTATTAATATAAAATTAAAAATAGTGAAGTTGTTTGCTGAGAACATAAAAATAACAAATCTTCAACGTTAATTCGTAACTTTATAATATACGTAAGGAATTAAATTATTATAATTCAATTAAATAAAAATGACGTCGTTTTATATATATATATATACATTTTTTACGTTATTTTCCTTACAATTCTGCTTAATTATTCAGAAATGGTTTTATAAAGAGCGTGTGTCTTAATAAATTCTTCTCAGGTTTTTATCATTTTAATCAAACTAAAGTGAAGCTGGAGATTTACAATTTTATCCTCAACTAGAAAATAAAAGAAAGAAATAATCCAAGTACAAATTAAACTGTTAATATTGATAATGCATGTATTTTATATAGAATAAAAGAACATTTTCTTCTGAATATCTTTATGATCCTTTCGGAAAATCACTAATAAATATAAAATTTGTATAATTAATTTCAAGATCGTACTAGAGTTATATTTAATTATATACATTCTCCCCTATTTTCAGAAAAAAAAAATGTTTAATTCTATTTAATTAAAATATTATTAACATTTTAAAACTTATTTTAACATTTAAACATGATTCACAGACATTAAAACTTAATTAATTTGAAATTTGTCTACAGAATTACATAAATAAAAATAATTTTTAAAAAAAATATTTAATTTCGTCGACGTATAAATCATTTTATAATGTTTTAATCATTGAAGATTAATTTCTTAGAAATTTTTCCGATAAAATTATTCAGCAAAGTAAATTGCATTTAAATTTACAGGTAGAAAATTGAAAATTTAAAATACTTTTTTATACAAAAGGCAATTTTCTGGGGGGTTCTTTATGATGGCGAGAATTTACTTTTTACATTAAACGATTCTGCAATTTATATGTGCATATCAAAACAATCGTAAAAAAAACTGTTAATGCTCCTATTAAACAACGTAATGTACGTGTTTTCCGACGTCGTTTACAAATATTTCTTTTATGTAGACTACTAGAATCTTCGACTAATCATTATTTCCTATTTAATGGATACCAAAATGGAATCCCAGATAAAGTTAACTAGGATTTCATGTTTCTCTAGTTGAGGTTAGCTCTTAGCTATAATGAGTCAGACACAGAATTATTAAACAGAATTTATCTAGTAAAACAGTTCTTTCTAAATTATATATGTTGAAAGAGAATTTCACAACATATTCACAATGTTAACAATATGTTTAGAAGTATCACTTGTAAATGCATTAAAATTAATTAACGTAGAGATTACTTTTATAATTTCTCTTATATAATACTTACTTTTATTGTAACTTAAAATATTTTATAATTATGTTATTAAATTACTATTATTTTTTTTTTAATTAAATGTTCGTTATTTTATTGGTGTTGCAAGAATTTCATTACAATGCTTACATTGTTAACACCGTATTGCAGCTTGGCTTTTGTTAAAATTACCTGTATTCAAAAAAGTTAAGCTCTTCGTTATATTAAAAAAATAAGTAAGCCGTACAGAGATAAGAAAAAAAATTACCATTTCCTGATGAAAACTTATATTCTCGATCACATTCAGCGTCAGAAAGTTCACTTCCATCCACGAGAAGGGGATGATGCGTAACGGGTATCTCTTCTTTAATGCTCTGCCATCTTAAGATAAATGAATTTTCATTATATTTTATTTCATTTTAATAAAGAAAAACGTTATAAAATTTAATCCTAATCATGAAAAAGTTCATCAGCTGATTATTTTTTAATTAAAAAAAATTGAAGAATGTAATTAACTTTTTTAAATACATGTTTAAGTAATTTGAAGAGATACAGTAAAATTTACGGTTATAGGATGTTTGGGAGTTATATTCTTATGTATATACATTCAATCTTACAAAGTAATAATAAAATATTTGATTAAAAATCTTCTTTAAATAATTATTTCTTGAAAGACTGCTTACAAAATGAATTTTCTATAATTAAATTTTAACAATTTATAAAAAGGTTCATTAATAACATGAAAGACTGAGGATTATAAATGTGAAAATATTTTGAATTTTCATACAGTTAAGTATTAAATATTATGTATAACCATGTAAAATTATTATAAAGTACATCAAAACTTTCTTAGCTTCTTTAGTTTTTCTATTTTTATAAATAACATTTCAAAATCCTTCGTATACGATAAATTTAAGACAAATATTTTCAATAAATTCATAAATTATATTCATCTACTGGAAAATAATACATTCATACTCCTAATTTTATACGAAAAATTGATTTATAGTTTTCTCTGTTTTAAAATTCTCGATATATTGATTATAAAATACATATATACATCAGGCGAAAGAACTTACAAACATACGTTAAATTCTAGATTTTATGACAGGAATTCAATTTTATACCATTTTAACAATTAATAATCTTCAAGTTGTGTATCCAAAACATTGAATTTTTCATTTATAAATTGTTTATTTCCAGAATATAATTGATATATGGTAGATAATATGCATTACCTATCATTACTTTCAGGAATGGACCATCTATTTCCATTTAATATTTTGCTGTACTGAGCGCAACTTGCAGATGGAGTGGAGTGAGGTCTATCTGTAACAATGATTACAATTTAGTTTTTTTTCTAAATAATTACAAGTTTATAAATTAATATTACCAAAATTTTCTAGATAATAATTTGCCAGATTAAATCATTTAATAAGGAATTGTAAGCATGCAGTGAATTAAATTTGTGGTTTTCTTTATTAAAAGTATTAAAATTCTTTAAATACCATGATGCATTACATCTGTAAATCCATATCTAGCATCACCTTCTTCGTATTCTCGATTCTGTTTAGATTTATCATGTTTTTCATGTTTCTAAAAATATAATTCGAATTTAAAGCTTTAATAACAGATTAAATAACATTAAAATATTAAATTATCAATTAATACATTATCCTAAAAATTACTTTAAATTAAATTATTAAATATCTTAAGTAAATGAATTTAATATTTTAAATATTTATTCCTCTTAAATCAACGTTTCGAGTTCTTTAATTAATGAATCCTCTTTGCTAGAATGAACTTAATTAGAAATTTAAAAATAAGGAAAAAAATATATTAAATTTATCAAATTTTATTTTAAAAATTATTAAGTAAATTTAATGAAAAACTATTAATTTAATTTTTTAAAATTTTACTTTAAGTTAATTTATTTGTGTTTTAATTTTGAGCCATTTTAAGAATTTTAGAATATAAACTTTTTTTTTAATTTGAGGAATTATTTAAAAAATGGAGTAAAAATTACAAGATTTGTGACTGTAGAAGCAGAAGAAAGCAATTTTAAGTTATTAAGGATTTTATATCCAACAAATTCTAAATTAAGTTTTGAAGAAATAAACCAACGACCATCCTATTTTCTTGCTAACAAGATTTTGATATTGGATAGACGTGCAGCATTTCAGTAATGATCATTTTGTATTGGAAGTAGCAGATAAAAAATTGAGGAAAAAATAAAATAAAATAAAAAGATTTATAAAGTTATATCTGAGGCATTACTATATCATCACGAAGGGGTTGGGGTATGTCATAAAGATGCTCATTTCCTCTGATGTTTGGTCTGTTCAAACTTCTACATCTATCTCCATCGACTCTTCCATCATCTCTTCCAGCAAAAGGGATGTTACTAGTAGCATAAGGTGTTGGAAAGTAAATAGATTCCCTATTTTGATCGTAAGTTTTCTCTAATTCTCCCATCGCTAGTGCATCAGTTTTTGGATCTTCAGAATGGCGAACACCTAGATTTAAAAAAACATATTTGAAATTTAATGTATATTAATTTACTTATTTATCAAGTGGACATCACATATATATACTTTAAAAATTTCAATAACGTTAAAAATATATTTAAAATTTAAAAATTATAATTATATAAGAAGATTAGTAAATATAATCCTTCTGAAATATTTTTTAGTCATTTTATAAATTACATACATTTTTTATTCCATTCGATTATAGAAATTCCCAGAAGCTATAAGTAATTCGATTTATAAAAGTCAGTATAAAAAAACGTAATTTTAGATTAAAACGTTGAAAAATTGTTGAAAAAAAATAACAAAACGAACATTAGAAAGATTAAAAAGTACAATTTTTTAAAAAAATGAGTAAATCTTATAGAGTAGAAGGACTATTTTTACTATCAAATATATGATTAATATTAAGTTTCTAGGGCAACTAACAGAAATCAGTGTAGTGGTTCAAGTCTAGAACAGTTAAGGAGAAAATGTTTCTTTTAGAAGAGTGATCGCTGCAAAATATACACTACTTTTACTGTATATAACAGAAGAGATGCCATCAATTATAAGTTGATTTGGGTTAGCATCTTAATAATTAGAAATGTTAATGAATGATTGATATAGAAAAATATGATTTTCTAGAATATTTAATATACCAGCACTTTCATCTTAATTTTTATACAATCTCTTTATAATTATTAAAATTATTACGCTTGCAATTTGAAAAAAAACTGTAGACCTATAAATTCCCACTGTTGTCCGTCTGTCTGTCCTTAATGTCGCGAATAGTGTTAGATAGATGAAAGACGAGACCAGGAATGAACACCTTAGAAGTAAGAGGTTCCCAGATTAACTACATGCGAACTTTCAATATAAATCGGAAGTCATGTTATTTAAATTTAAAAATTTCCCCTCAAAGGTGTTAGATATAGCACCGGCACGACTCTATTGTTAAAGGAAAAGTATGATGTACAGGAACAAGACAATACTAATTTGAAGTGTAGAGCATATATTTTAAATTAAATACATTAAAAATATGATAAAAAATTGCAGCCTGGCATCATAACTGTTTAGAATTAATATTTAGAATTACACAGCTATTAACTAAGAAGTAGAAATTCTTTTAAATATTCATTTCTCTAAAAAATTTTCTCCATTTTTAAATTTAAAAAATTGAACCTTTTAATAAAATATAAATATAATTAAACTATTCGTAATATGTATCATTGTAATTTAAAAATAATTTCAATTATTGTAAATAATTACAAGATATGAATGTAATTTAATACTGTATAACATTTAAAATTATGTCTGTGTAGACATAATTATAATTTTAAAGAGAATTTTAAGTGAATTTAATAGGGAGAACATAAAATTTGAGAAAAAAAAAAAACTGAAAATAATTATTGTATATAAATGCATTTATTAAAATTAAAAAATTTAATATCAGACTTCACCTTCATAGAGATTTGTCATTCTTGGACTACGTTTCCTGCATATCAATAAAAAAACAGCAACAGATACAGCCACCAAAACAACAGCAGCACAGCATATTGGCACGATGAAAGAAAGACTTCTGTATCTTCTCGAAGGATCTGTTAGATTATCCGGTTGCACGGTTGCTAAATAATATAAAAGTTTGAAAGTAAAATCGATTTTAATAACCTGAAAATTCAATTTTTAATGGATCAATATCATTCAGACACAATAAACGCTCAAAAATTCTTTAATAAATTTTCAATGTTAGAAAATAGGGGAAAAAAAATAATAATTGTAATATATTTAAAATATAATTATAATGATTAAAATGCTAAGAGCATGTTGCTAGTAGTGCCATCTAGTAAATTAAAACGAAACAAATATAATTAATTTAATATTAATTAATTTTTTTTATTTCATTAATAAATAATTATTATTATACTTTATAGTTAGATTATATTTTTCATTCTTTCATTTTAAATAAAAAAAATTAATGTAGCATTTCAAAAAATCTGATTACTTAAATATGCAATATAAGATAAATGAAATGAATTAATTCTTCTTATTTAAAATTAATGCAAAAATCGAACATAATTTTCCTTAATATTTAAGAGAAAAAATATATTTTTTTAAAATAAAGCAATTTATCTTTTAAATGGATAATTGAAAGAATAAATATTTTATTTTTATGACAATTTGCAATGGAATTTTAGAAAAATACTTTTTCTTCCTTCTTAAAATTTCTTCTATATATTTTGAATATTTCATGTAATGTCATTTCTATAGATTTATTCTAGAAGATTACTTTTAAATAAAAATATAAAATTGTGCAGCTACACTGTAATGAATTCTTTATTTAATAAGCTTAATTAAATTACATATAGTTTTAAAAATTTAACTCTTTTCTGAGTGTGAAAATGTGTAGTTGTACAAACAAAATTTACAAAAAAATAATGCTGTAAATCTAAATATACCTTTTATATGATAAGTTATAGCTCAATTATAAAATTTAAATATAAAAAATTATATTTAAATTGTTACAGAACTAATTTTTTTCTTTATATAACGCTTAGATTTGACCTTTTATTAACCTTACAATTCAATTTACCATACTATTCTGGTATCAATGTGTCAAACTCAAAGAAAAATATTATCCCATTCTCCCTTAAATTACATTATTAATACCTACTAAAAGATTTAAAGTTAGAAAGAACGTTTTCTATTTAATAATTCTTGAAATTTCATGATAAATGATGCATTATGGTGGGTAGGAAAAACTTCAGTCTTTTAATAATTTAAAAACTTTTTAATGAATGTTCTATTTAATATTTTAATTAAAAATAAAATAAATTGAAGAAACAGAAATCTATAAATACTAAATTATAAACATTAGAAAAGAAAATTTCATTATAAATGCAGTACATCTCTCTTAAAATATGATGTATTAAACTGTATCGTTATTTTTGTAATTGTTAATTTATTAATTATTAAAATTCTATAATTATGAGTTATTATTTTAAAAAAATATATAACAACACTATAACACTTTTTAAAATCTGTTTCTTTAATCATACCTTCTCTATAATTTGAAAGAGCCTATGTGAATTATAAAGACGATTACTCAAAAAATAACTTGATTTTTTGCATAATTAAATATCATTTATAACATTTTTAATGATGTAAAAACATTCAAAAATTTCACAGATTTCTTTTTGATTATTTTTCATTAAGTTGATCTTTGATTTTTGTAAGAATAAACTCTTAAATGACATTTATTATGCTGTGTTTTCATGGATTATTCTAGATTTTTGAAGAGCTATTTATTTATTATTTATTAATTTTTTTAATTTAAATTTTTTTGTTTAAGTATACTGTACATCTGGAGATTTAGTACAGACGACTAGTAAAGTTTCCCCATTGATGCATGACAAATGAAAGAATACGATAAATTAAAACAAAAACATTACCTTATTTTTCTTTAACTACATCATTAATGTTCTCTGAACAAAATTAAAGTCGGAAGCGGTAAACTTTTATTAAGAAAGGTAAAGTAATTTAATCAAAATCAATTACTTCATGTTTTTCTTAATTTTTTTTTTTTCATCTAAGGTCAGGAGATTTTCCATTAGTAAGCTTCAGAGATATTAAAGATACTGCACACTTTTCTAATTTATGAAATATAATTTATAGCTAGATCATAAACATTAAACAAATGAATTTAAAGTAGAATATATTCTGTATCTGTAAATGTACTTATAGAGCAAAAATTCATCATTTATCCGGAAACAGTTTTTCTTATTTTTATTACAAAATAAAAAAATCTCATAATATGTAATTAACATTTAAAAAATATTTTTATGTATTTTAGTATAAAATTTTTAAAAACTTATTTTTATATCATTTAATCGATTTTGCTTTTTGTTATATAAGATTGAATAAAAATAACAATTTTCTTAGAAGACTGCAAAGTAAACAAAGAAACAATTCTATGAGCATAAATTGTCGTTTATTAAAATTATAATATAAAATAAATATATATAAAACTTCACTAAACATTGATATTGAGGAATAAACAATATAAAGATATGGCTTTCTAACATTTTAACAGTTATAAAAGTAACTTCTCTCTGTCAAAAATTCCTTATCTTCGATTTAGATCTTTGTTTAACAGGAAAAAGTTCAATTTAAAATAACTATTTATTTCTTTAAATTTATTTGTGGTTAATTCAGAATCAGTGGAGAGACACTCAGATGAAAACATATTAAACTGGTTAAGGTATCTTCCTTTAATCTATGAATTAATGTACAAAAGTCTTTACATGGCAGTAGGACGAACGTCCGCACGTGTCGACAGACAGTAGTTCTAACAAAGGAACAGGTTAAGACAAAGGGTCATAAAACCTTTTGTTTGGTTATTGGGTAGGTCCCTCTAGTGGGTCAAATTGGTATGCGTCGAGAGTATCGACACCTCCCCTCAATTTGATATCACGGTGAACCTTCTATGGGTCCGATACCCATGTTGGCGACGCACGACCGGTGTTTGTTCNAAATTGAAGAATGTAATTAACTTTTTTAAATACATGTTTAAGTAATTTGAAGAGATACAGTAAAATTTACGGTTATAGGATGTTTGGGAGTTATATTCTTATGTATATACATTCAATCTTACAAAGTAATAATAAAATATTTGATTAAAAATCTTCTTTAAATAATTATTTCTTGAAAGACTGCTTACAAAATGAATTTTCTATAATTAAATTTTAACAATTTATAAAAAGGTTCATTAATAACATGAAAGACTGAGGATTATAAATGTGAAAATATTTTGAATTTTCATACAGTTAAGTATTAAATATTATGTATAACCATGTAAAATTATTATAAAGTACATCAAAACTTTCTTAGCTTCTTTAGTTTTTCTATTTTTATAAATAACATTTCAAAATCCTTCGTATACGATAAATTTAAGACAAATATTTTCAATAAATTCATAAATTATATTCATCTACTGGAAAATAATACATTCATACTCCTAATTTTATACGAAAAATTGATTTATAGTTTTCTCTGTTTTAAAATTCTCGATATATTGATTATAAAATACATATATACATCAGGCGAAAGAACTTACAAACATACGTTAAATTCTAGATTTTATGACAGGAATTCAATTTTATACCATTTTAACAATTAATAATCTTCAAGTTGTGTATCCAAAACATTGAATTTTTCATTTATAAATTGTTTATTTCCAGAATATAATTGATATATGGTAGATAATATGCATTACCTATCATTACTTTCAGGAATGGACCATCTATTTCCATTTAATATTTTGCTGTACTGAGCGCAACTTGCAGATGGAGTGGAGTGAGGTCTATCTGTAACAATGATTACAATTTAGTTTTTTTTCTAAATAATTACAAGTTTATAAATTAATATTACCAAAATTTTCTAGATAATAATTTGCCAGATTAAATCATTTAATAAGGAATTGTAAGCATGCAGTGAATTAAATTTGTGGTTTTCTTTATTAAAAGTATTAAAATTCTTTAAATACCATGATGCATTACATCTGTAAATCCATATCTAGCATCACCTTCTTCGTATTCTCGATTCTGTTTAGATTTATCATGTTTTTCATGTTTCTAAAAATATAATTCGAATTTAAAGCTTTAATAACAGATTAAATAACATTAAAATATTAAATTATCAATTAATACATTATCCTAAAAATTACTTTAAATTAAATTATTAAATATCTTAAGTAAATGAATTTAATATTTTAAATATTTATTCCTCTTAAATCAACGTTTCGAGTTCTTTAATTAATGAATCCTCTTTGCTAGAATGAACTTAATTAGAAATTTAAAAATAAGGAAAAAAATATATTAAATTTATCAAATTTTATTTTAAAAATTATTAAGTAAATTTAATGAAAAACTATTAATTTAATTTTTTAAAATTTTACTTTAAGTTAATTTATTTGTGTTTTAATTTTGAGCCATTTTAAGAATTTTAGAATATAAACTTTTTTTTTAATTTGAGGAATTATTTAAAAAATGGAGTAAAAATTACAAGATTTGTGACTGTAGAAGCAGAAGAAAGCAATTTTAAGTTATTAAGGATTTTATATCCAACAAATTCTAAATTAAGTTTTGAAGAAATAAACCAACGACCATCCTATTTTCTTGCTAACAAGATTTTGATATTGGATAGACGTGCAGCATTTCAGTAATGATCATTTTGTATTGGAAGTAGCAGATAAAAAATTGAGGAAAAAATAAAATAAAATAAAAAGATTTATAAAGTTATATCTGAGGCATTACTATATCATCACGAAGGGGTTGGGGTATGTCATAAAGATGCTCATTTCCTCTGATGTTTGGTCTGTTCAAACTTCTACATCTATCTCCATCGACTCTTCCATCATCTCTTCCAGCAAAAGGGATGTTACTAGTAGCATAAGGTGTTGGAAAGTAAATAGATTCCCTATTTTGATCGTAAGTTTTCTCTAATTCTCCCATCGCTAGTGCATCAGTTTTTGGATCTTCAGAATGGCGAACACCTAGATTTAAAAAAACATATTTGAAATTTAATGTATATTAATTTACTTATTTATCAAGTGGACATCACATATATATACTTTAAAAATTTCAATAACGTTAAAAATATATTTAAAATTTAAAAATTATAATTATATAAGAAGATTAGTAAATATAATCCTTCTGAAATATTTTTTAGTCATTTTATAAATTACATACATTTTTTATTCCATTCGATTATAGAAATTCCCAGAAGCTATAAGTAATTCGATTTATAAAAGTCAGTATAAAAAAACGTAATTTTAGATTAAAACGTTGAAAAATTGTTGAAAAAAAATAACAAAACGAACATTAGAAAGATTAAAAAGTACAATTTTTTAAAAAAATGAGTAAATCTTATAGAGTAGAAGGACTATTTTTACTATCAAATATATGATTAATATTAAGTTTCTAGGGCAACTAACAGAAATCAGTGTAGTGGTTCAAGTCTAGAACAGTTAAGGAGAAAATGTTTCTTTTAGAAGAGTGATCGCTGCAAAATATACACTACTTTTACTGTATATAACAGAAGAGATGCCATCAATTATAAGTTGATTTGGGTTAGCATCTTAATAATTAGAAATGTTAATGAATGATTGATATAGAAAAATATGATTTTCTAGAATATTTAATATACCAGCACTTTCATCTTAATTTTTATACAATCTCTTTATAATTATTAAAATTATTACGCTTGCAATTTGAAAAAAAACTGTAGACCTATAAATTCCCACTGTTGTCCGTCTGTCTGTCCTTAATGTCGCGAATAGTGTTAGATAGATGAAAGACGAGACCAGGAATGAACACCTTAGAAGTAAGAGGTTCCCAGATTAACTACATGCGAACTTTCAATATAAATCGGAAGTCATGTTATTTAAATTTAAAAATTTCCCCTCAAAGGTGTTAGATATAGCACCGGCACGACTCTATTGTTAAAGGAAAAGTATGATGTACAGGAACAAGACAATACTAATTTGAAGTGTAGAGCATATATTTTAAATTAAATACATTAAAAATATGATAAAAAATTGCAGCCTGGCATCATAACTGTTTAGAATTAATATTTAGAATTACACAGCTATTAACTAAGAAGTAGAAATTCTTTTAAATATTCATTTCTCTAAAAAATTTTCTCCATTTTTAAATTTAAAAAATTGAACCTTTTAATAAAATATAAATATAATTAAACTATTCGTAATATGTATCATTGTAATTTAAAAATAATTTCAATTATTGTAAATAATTACAAGATATGAATGTAATTTAATACTGTATAACATTTAAAATTATGTCTGTGTAGACATAATTATAATTTTAAAGAGAATTTTAAGTGAATTTAATAGGGAGAACATAAAATTTGAGAAAAAAAAAAAACTGAAAATAATTATTGTATATAAATGCATTTATTAAAATTAAAAAATTTAATATCAGACTTCACCTTCATAGAGATTTGTCATTCTTGGACTACGTTTCCTGCATATCAATAAAAAAACAGCAACAGATACAGCCACCAAAACAACAGCAGCACAGCATATTGGCACGATGAAAGAAAGACTTCTGTATCTTCTCGAAGGATCTGTTAGATTATCCGGTTGCACGGTTGCTAAATAATATAAAAGTTTGAAAGTAAAATCGATTTTAATAACCTGAAAATTCAATTTTTAATGGATCAATATCATTCAGACACAATAAACGCTCAAAAATTCTTTAATAAATTTTCAATGTTAGAAAATAGGGGAAAAAAAATAATAATTGTAATATATTTAAAATATAATTATAATGATTAAAATGCTAAGAGCATGTTGCTAGTAGTGCCATCTAGTAAATTAAAACGAAACAAATATAATTAATTTAATATTAATTAATTTTTTTTATTTCATTAATAAATAATTATTATTATACTTTATAGTTAGATTATATTTTTCATTCTTTCATTTTAAATAAAAAAAATTAATGTAGCATTTCAAAAAATCTGATTACTTAAATATGCAATATAAGATAAATGAAATGAATTAATTCTTCTTATTTAAAATTAATGCAAAAATCGAACATAATTTTCCTTAATATTTAAGAGAAAAAATATATTTTTTTAAAATAAAGCAATTTATCTTTTAAATGGATAATTGAAAGAATAAATATTTTATTTTTATGACAATTTGCAATGGAATTTTAGAAAAATACTTTTTCTTCCTTCTTAAAATTTCTTCTATATATTTTGAATATTTCATGTAATGTCATTTCTATAGATTTATTCTAGAAGATTACTTTTAAATAAAAATATAAAATTGTGCAGCTACACTGTAATGAATTCTTTATTTAATAAGCTTAATTAAATTACATATAGTTTTAAAAATTTAACTCTTTTCTGAGTGTGAAAATGTGTAGTTGTACAAACAAAATTTACAAAAAAATAATGCTGTAAATCTAAATATACCTTTTATATGATAAGTTATAGCTCAATTATAAAATTTAAATATAAAAAATTATATTTAAATTGTTACAGAACTAATTTTTTTCTTTATATAACGCTTAGATTTGACCTTTTATTAACCTTACAATTCAATTTACCATACTATTCTGGTATCAATGTGTCAAACTCAAAGAAAAATATTATCCCATTCTCCCTTAAATTACATTATTAATACCTACTAAAAGATTTAAAGTTAGAAAGAACGTTTTCTATTTAATAATTCTTGAAATTTCATGATAAATGATGCATTATGGTGGGTAGGAAAAACTTCAGTCTTTTAATAATTTAAAAACTTTTTAATGAATGTTCTATTTAATATTTTAATTAAAAATAAAATAAATTGAAGAAACAGAAATCTATAAATACTAAATTATAAACATTAGAAAAGAAAATTTCATTATAAATGCAGTACATCTCTCTTAAAATATGATGTATTAAACTGTATCGTTATTTTTGTAATTGTTAATTTATTAATTATTAAAATTCTATAATTATGAGTTATTATTTTAAAAAAATATATAACAACACTATAACACTTTTTAAAATCTGTTTCTTTAATCATACCTTCTCTATAATTTGAAAGAGCCTATGTGAATTATAAAGACGATTACTCAAAAAATAACTTGATTTTTTGCATAATTAAATATCATTTATAACATTTTTAATGATGTAAAAACATTCAAAAATTTCACAGATTTCTTTTTGATTATTTTTCATTAAGTTGATCTTTGATTTTTGTAAGAATAAACTCTTAAATGACATTTATTATGCTGTGTTTTCATGGATTATTCTAGATTTTTGAAGAGCTGTGCTCAAGAAGAACGAAAATGTTATTTTTAAATATCTTTTTTAAAAGTTAAATTTTTAAAGTAAGATTTTCTAAAAGAGATATAAATTTTTGTTGTAAAGAATTAGATCAAATAGGAAAGTGTATTTTTATATATCTATATATTTTCAAATTCACATAAATTAATTTAATCATTATCCTATAGTTTCTAAGCTATTCACTGTGATATTTTAATAAATTATTCAGAATTATATGATGTCAATTCTCGTTATTAAATCATGTTTATTAGTACAACAAATGGTACAGTCACGAATTAGCCTCGAACACAGAGAATGCGCCTAAATTTTAGTGTTTGATATAAGAAAAGTAATTAAAAATGTTCATTTGTAATTGACCTGTGTCTCATTTCATTTATCTGAAGTTCTGGACAAAAATCATCCTCTCTCAAAGAGGCACAATTTTCACATTAAACTGCTTATATTTAGATTGAATGAAGCAAAATATAAGCAGCTAAATTCGCATGATTCTTCTTGAATCATGCGAATTTAGCAGTTGGAAAAGAAATCGTTAATAAAAAACGTTCAAAAAACTGGGCAGATTTTGGAACTATTTTGACCTATTTATGAATCTTGAAGGAACATATGTTACAATTTTCATACGTATTATCTAATTATCTTATGATTTCGTGTATTTTAATAAAAAAAACTAAATGTATTTTTTAAATTTTCCTACATGCAAGATAAGCAGGTTTGTGATAAAGTATCATTACTTATAAAAAATAAATAATGAATATAAATAATGACATAGATAATAAATCTTTGTAAATTTTAGATTTATAATGTTTGAAACTTAAGATATTTATCAAAAAATACCTTTATTCTTAATAATTTAATTGACATAAAATTTTTATAACTGTTTACAGTAATTTGAGAAGAAATAGTACATTGCCAAAGACAAAAATATTCGAAAATAAATTAAATTCCTTTTAATGAAGTGTAAATTATTTCTTTATTTTATAATTTTCGTATAAAATAATAAAAAAAGCAGACAAAATGGCAATTTATAACTAAATTTTTTAAAAAAGAATATAATTAAATTGTTACATTTCTTGCAATCTATACGCGACATTTTTTCTTCGAATTCCAGATCTAATTGTTTCTTTTCAAAGAACGTGGTCTAAAAAGCTAAAAATAAAAAGAAAATAAAAAGAAAATTTACCTTTTTCCCCTGAAGCTTTCAAGAAAACTAAATTATGAGAACTTTTCGCCTCATATATTGAATCCATCTTTGTGAATTTCATTGTTATAATTCAAAAAGTTTAACGCAAAAGTATTAAAAGAAATTGCACGATTGTGTAACTTAATTTAAGTTTACTTTCTAAATTAATTATAATTAATTTTTAACACAAATTAGAGCATTAAATATCATAAATTTTAATACAATTCACATATATTCAACAACACATAAGAATTATTTCATAATTCTGTATTTTTTCCAGACATATCCATATTAACTTTTAAAAAATTTCATTTAAGATTAATTTTTTATTTAAGTAAATTAAAAAAAAAACAAATTAATTCAGTTTACTCCAATTTTTGATATAAAAATTCCAGACAATTCTTAAAGTTAAAATATTTAATAAAACAAGAAATTAATTATTTATAGAAATGCAATATTGTACTTTAGGTAAAGACATTTTATTAAATAAAAAATAAAGGATTATAAATAAGAAAAAACAATTTAATTTAAAATATTTTTGGCCAGCTTTAATTTTTTTATTTTTTTGTTATAGAAGTTGTTCTATTACCTTTTATACATAAAGGATTTAAGGTCACATTGTTTTGAAATCAAATTAAATATATAGACATACCCTTATATATCTTATATATAAATATATAGAAAAAGTCTCTGAAGTTCAAAGAAATAATTTTTTATTTTTGATGAAAGAAAAGAAATGTGATTGAAAATCCTAGATTTATATATATAAATTACTAAATTTTGTAATAAAAAATTATCATCAATCTCAAATAAATCTTTAAAAATTTTATTTTACTAGCTCATTTTATAACGTAATAAAATAGTAATTATACGTTTTGTCTGATTTATAATTTAATTATAGATTAAATCATATTAAATATAATAATTTTTACCTGTTTTTAATTATTATGATTATTATTAACGAGATAAATTGCTTGTATTTGCGTTATTCAACAGAAGTTTATAGAATTTTCGGTATAATTTTTTTTTTATTTAAAAAAAAGTTGAAAATATTCTAATTAATGATTCTACTATAAATATTAAATAATTAATATAATTATATATGAAAAATACATTTTGAAATAGTTTATTTTAAAAATAAAACTGCTTTATTACGGTAAAATTTTAAACAGAAAGTAAGCATACTATTTTAGTTAAATTTTTAAAAATTCTATAAAAAATTGATTAAAAAAAAGCAGGGATAAAAGAAAGAGATTGCTGCTATTATTATTCTGATAAAAACTCACCTCCTGTCACAGTAAGAGTCGATACTAGATAATCGGCTTCTTTCACACCTACAACGTTGTGCGCCGACACCAATATGTTATACCAGGTTCCAGGTGCCAAATCAGATATCACTACTTTTTCTTGGTCAGAATGAATTTGAGAGGAGATAAGAATCCATTCTTGTTGTCTTTGTGGTTTATATTGAACTACAAAGAATTCTATAGGGCATCCTCCGTTTCTCCAAGAAGATAATCGAAGAATGATACTTGTAGCATTTCTATTTATCCAGCTTTGTGTTGTTGGAGCTATCGGTGCTGAGAAGAAAAAGATAAAGTGAATAATATTGAATTAATAAATAATACCAAATTAACAGGTTATACTGTAATCGTTTTTTATTTATATTATAACTATTTCCTAAACTATTTGGAAATTTATTCTTTGCTTGAATTAAAAAAATATCAATTTCTATTATAAAATGTTTTTTATAAAATACTATGTAATAAATCAAGTAAATATTTTAGAAAAATTATAGTCTATACATATATTTCAATTATATAACGTATAATTTTAAAATTGTGTAGAACCTTAGAAACTCTATGATTCATACTACTATTATAGACCAAAAAATCTTTCTTTTAGCTTTCCACTAAAAGAAAGATTTTATAGACAATAGTTGAACAATCCAGAAAGTATTCAGGAGATCTTCACTGACAAATTTACACCATTATCATTAGCAATTTCCATTTTCGGTAAGAAATATTTTCTCAGAAGTTATAGAAGATCTATTGAGTTATCTGATACCCTAGTGCTTTGCGGAGTAGATCTGAAAAGCTTGCTGATGGGAAACAGTTTGCAAACCAATCCTTCTCGACTCTGCTTCCTTTTTGTTGCAATAGAATTGATTTTGAAATTCAAAAAGTTTTACGTTGAGAAACCTATGATTTCCCGCCCCAAATAAAATACAAAAGGTTGATCTTCCGATAAAATCAAAGCCATCTTTCAAGTCTTTATAGATTTCGACGGAAAATCGTTACGAATTACTTACTATAATATTTCAATTTAAACTTTAAATGGAATTTAGTAGTTTTTTATGAAAGCAATGGCGAATACGTACAAGTGTATTCAGCATCTTTACATAAATAGCATACTGTTAGTGTATTGTACAGTAAAGATTAACTATGGTATATTTACTTGTGTTAACTAAGAACAGAATTTTGTTGATATCAAAGATATATCATTTAGTAGTTATTCCAAAATTGTGTGGCCATCTACCTTTTCATACAATAGAGAGACATACTGCAATTTTAACTTCATCAATCAAATTGTAATACTTAAATAGTTTAAAGATTCGTGATCAAACGACGATAAGTTGTAACTGCGATTGAACACGAATGTCGTTAAATTTGTAATTAATGAAGAAATCGTTTTCTTAATGATCGCACGTGTGTCGAACGACCAGAAGTCACCAAAGTAGCCAACAGTCTGTTCTCTCATCAATATCCCGGTGTTAAAGACATCATCTAACAATACCAGTTTCACTTTTCTAACAGTAAGAAAGTACCGTTAGTATTGTCGAAGGTCGACAACTTAAACAACTTTACAGATCTTTCACGACCATCTGGAATTGAGGAAAAACTTCACTTCAAAATAGTTTTTTTATCAATTAAATTTATAAGAGGATGTTGAAAGATGAACTTAAGACATTGAATAAAAAATGTGTGTGAGATGAACATTTTGTACAGTGTATATTGATAAATTCATATTGATGTAAAGAAATTCACGTAAATTGAAGTGATATAAAAATATTGAGAACTTGTACTGCAAAAAATAATAGAGTACTGTACGTCATCCTATATATTTACTGTAAGTACAAACAGGTCAAAAATTATATTTATCACAAACAAATATATATTTTTATATTGTATTTGTATTATATAAGAGTACATAGTAACTGTTTATGTTTACTTTTATTCTATAAAATACTTTCTTCAGCTTAGTAAACATTTAAGACGATTTTGCAAAGACAATAACATGAAGCATTTTTCACTTAAAAAAATAAAAAATTATACATTTTTTTCTGTAAAAATAATGTAACTTTTATACGTTTAATTTGGGCTATATTTCGGAATTTACCAGGAATCAAAATATTTTACAATTCGCAGTATTATGATATACATCACAGTGTATGGCAAAAAACACGGAATTTACGATTATACCTGTAAATATACCTTATAGAGAACAGTAATTTATACATTTTAAAAATATAAGAAATTAAGTGAAATATAATATTTAAAAGTTTTGAAGTTTTTGATAATGAATGTCCCCGCTTATCCTACCATATTTTAAAAATCTTGATCATAAAAATTGCTTCTATTTTATCATTCAACTATTTGCCCTGGAACGAATATCTCTTCGTTTCAAAATTCTTGGCATAGCCATCGATCTTTTTGGACGATCGGTACAATTCTCGGATTGACCACTCATCTCCTCTTCAAGATTCTCTTCCGAGTGGTTGCAATAGTATTACTATCCTTCTTATCTTCCAAACACGAATAATGCAATGTTTCAAAAAGATTGATCATATTCATGACAACAGTTACATGTCATTTGAAAATAAATCATCCTATCTTATTCACTGAAAGTTCATTCTTTGTAAAAAAAAAAAAAAAGATAAAAGTATCATACCTTTAATAAATGCATTTTGATTAAAACAAAATTTAAATTGATGTAATATAAAAAGATCCTCAAATTCAATTTTCACAGCCATCTACAACTGTTGGACAAAATACATTTTCCATTGTTAAATGATACATAGGAATATGTAGTTTGAATTTAATCGTTGTATAAGTTAAATGAAAATTTATAAATGATAAAGTTAAAGTTATTTTTTAACAAGAAAATTGAAAATTCTGTTTTTTTCCATCTTTCTCACAAAACAAAATTGTTAGGTTTATCTTTCTTATCTGAAACTATGCTCCTATGACTCTGTTTTAATGAACAGAACTAATACTAAAACAAAAAATAAAATAAAAATAAACTTGTCTTATCAAAAACACTTTAAATATTTTATATATTTTACTTTTCATAAATAAGGTTAAATATGAAAATGTATAATATTTTAAAACTAGATAAATATAATATACATAACTATTGTTCTCGAAATAATAATAATGAAATTCTATTAATAAAATATCTAATTAAATTTCTATTTATTCATTTAATAATAACTGTTACACAGTTATTCCTACCAAGAATTATATAATACATCCAAACAAAATTACAGGTATAACATACAAATAAAGATTTTTCAATACATAAAGAGATAGAGTTAATAATAGAATACAAATTATACTATTTATACAAAAATGAACACTGCAACAACTTAACGAACCAGCTTTAAAATTATACACAAAGTGCGAACGATACTATTTATGCTATTATTTTATTAGCTTTTTAATTAATACAAGTCTGACATTATTAACCTCAAAAAAATTCAATTGTTATTGTTGTTCAAGGGTTTTTTCTCCTTTAATCAATGAAGAAAGTCTTTTTTCTTCACTGAACGAAGGAATAAAAAACAAGTCCCAAAAAGATACTGAGCAGATAGGGTAAATGAGAATAAAATTCAATAGATGTTTATTTAATTTTTATTAAAATTGCTTATATAAAAACATTAGTATAAGCTAAGACAAATATATGTAATAAGCTATATGATAATTTCATTTATCAAAGAAATATGATTCGATATTATTGATATTTATTGAATCAAAAGTCTATTAACAATATGTCAAACATTAATTTGAAACAAAAATAGATTGTGTCCTATAAATTTGTGGCAATAACATTTAACGAAATTATAACAATTAATAGTGATTAATGTCTTTATTAAATATTATGAATTATTTTTATACTGTATTTTTTATTGTTAAATCGTATTTATAAGATAACTGTCAGATTAGTTACATGGTAGCACAGAGTTATTTTGGGTAAATTACGACAGCAATATGGCTTCTAACACTATAAATAATAGTTTTTTTTTTATTTTTATGTACTATTATTTCAAGAAAAATTTATTTTTAAAAAATTGCGATTATAAGAAAAATTTATTGTTCAAATTTGAAAAGAAATTAAATATTAACATCTTTAAATAAAAAAATTAATTAGATAAATGTATTATTAATCCAGTTGTAAACAAACAACATTCTAGAAATAACGATTTTGTTTTTCTTAATTTTTCGTAACATAAAAAATTAATTTTTTTAAATTGTACTCGTACAGTACCGTACATTTATTATGCTTTGGAAAAAAATTAAATAATCTTTGTAACACTTTAAAGGTTTAAACTGATTCTCATAAATGTTAACTAGCGAAATGAATTAAAACAAATTACAAAAAATGGTTTAGATTTCTAATTAAACGATGGAATTTTTGTTAGTCTAATAGACAAAAAATAATGCATTAGTTAGTAAATGGCCTATTTTTACTTTCCCAGGAGCAAGAGAAAAAATTAGAAGAATTGAACTTGTTCTTATTTTTGTTAAGTAATTAAATTTGTTACGTATGTTAAATTTAAACGTCCAGTTTTCCAGTAAGTTAAACATCTTTTACATCGAATATATATTTATATATAACTACAGATAGTATCTACAGTTACATATAAATGATATTAATACAAACTTTATTACTTAACATTTTAAAAACTATTGTCAACAATAAAACACATTTATCTTACAGATAAATGTGTTTTATTGTTGCAGATAACGCAGCAGTTGCAGATAAAAATTCAATAATAAGTCAATTAAAAAATTATGAAAATTACACGATATAAGCCTATATATTTATATTTATCTTTCATTCCGTTGAAAGTGTTGTGAATAGTTTGACGTCAATGACAACTTATTTAATAGTTATTAAAATATAGACTAACATACAGTATAATGTATACAATATTATACGAGTTATAATCGTACTACAACGTTACATTAAATTATATTATCACTATAATTATTACGATTAGCAAGATGTTAGTATAGATCGAAGTCTTATTATATATGGTCTGCGAAATGCGAAGTAAGATTCTACGAACTGAACCAAGCATTGTAAAATAAGAAAAAAATTTAGAAATAATTTTACAAATAATTTCAGACTATATTCTGCGATTTCTTAAAGAACATCTTGAATTTCTATAATGACAAGTGAAAAAACAAATGAAAACGAGCAATTATTTTATTGTGAAATCGTCACAATGCCGGCCTGCAATTTTTAATCATATTTTCAATTTATTTAATTTAATATATGTGATCTCCACCTGAAA